TTTTTGTATTTTTAGTAGAGACAGGGTTTCACCATGTTAGCCAGGATGGTCTCGATCTCTTGACCTCGTGATCCGCCCACCTCGGCCTCCCAAGTGCTGGGATTACAGGCGTGAGCCACCACGCCCGGCCGGCCCTTGACTTATTTCTGAGTTATTTCATATACATCTACCATATTCTTTTTGTTGGCTGCGCAGTCTTCTGCTGTATGAATACACCATGGTTTATTTAACTGAGGACTGAATCTTAAACAAAAACAAGACTCTAGAGCCGAGTTAAGGAGAGGGAAATGGTATTTTAGGCCAGAGGCTTAGGATGTGCGATTGTCTCCCCTTTCTGAAGAATGGTGACCTTGGCTGCTTTCCTCATCTGGTTCCTTGGCTTCCTTTTCTGGAGCAAAAAAGTTAAGGAAGAGGACCCTCTATACCAAGAGGACCGTCTGTCCGGGTATTTCCCAGAGAATCCCCTTTTCTCTGTTAGTGGGGATGGTTCAGTTTCTCACAGAAATATAGGTGAAACAAGAAGGGAGAGACCGGAAGGCCATGGTCTGCAGCCGGCCCTCCTATCCGCTCCCTTTTTTCTTACGGTGTGTGGCTGATAGCCCCGGCGTCCTTTCTGACTCAGGGCTCAGTCCCCCTGTTACTATCACCCCACTTTATTACTTGTGTTATATTTTAGTTTGTTAACTGGAGTGGGCCTGTGTGATTTTCCTTCTTGATGGGTGGGAGAGGGAGATACGTGATGAGCATGGTGTGGTCTGTAGGGGGAGACAAGTTGTGAGTTGCACGCTATAAGGGGAACAAGGTGGGGCGGCAAAGGCTGCATGCCCTGCCGTTGTCTGCAGGCTCTGCCCATGCTGATGTGATGAGGAGTGGCAGCCCTGGCAGGGAGCCCTTCTGCTGCAGGCACCAGGAGGCACTCACAGGCAGCATTTCTATTTTTAATGTAATTTGGGGGAGCTGGGTTTTAGTTCAAGCCCTGCCCTTCCTCACCCATCCAGATGGCAGGGTTAGCCACAGCTGCTGGGGCTTAGGCTGCCGGTGGAGAGGTGTGGGGGCTGTGGGCACAGGGCTGGGGACCCTACTGGGGAAGACAGAGTGAGCTGTCTCCTGCCCCACCTCTCCTGTTGACCCTGTGTCCCAGAACAGACGGGGCTCCTGTTGGTGTGACAGAAGGAGTGCAGGTCCTAGGATGGGGACTGGCACTGGCAGAGTCTTTTCTTTTTGTTTTTCACCTTAGGCTGGGGGAGAGGGAGAGGAATGTGGGAAGAGGAGCTAACATTGGTGGTGTGCCTTCTTTGGGTTGCGAGTTGGGCCTTACGTATACGAGCTGCTTTGATCCTCACCAGAAGCCCTGTGAGTTGCAGTATACGATCCCGTTTTATACAGTGGAGGAGACAGACTTCCCAGGCAGGAAGACTAGAACAAAGGGTTGACCCCAGGCTGACTACACTACTATCCCCCTGTGGAAAATATTTGAAATGATCAGGAATATTTCTCCCCTCCAGGCTGGGTGACAGAGTGAGACCTTGCCTCAAAGAATAGTTCTTCCTGCCTCCTTTTTTTTAACTGACTCGCTAAATGTCACTAGTCACCCAAGCTTTAAAATGAAATTGTTGTCCTGTTTGGTTTTGTTTTTGATGGATGATGTAATTGCTGACTGGGAAGGGGGCATCATTGTCTGCTGATGGGGCCTGGGTGCTTGGGGGTCCCTGAAGGTAGCGAAGGAGCACTTTGTCTTCCTCCAGGTGCCAGGTGGTGCCCTTTTTGTCTCGGGCACAGCTCTCTCTCTCTCTCATTCTACCAGTACTCCATCTCTCCGGGACTTATCCTTACTCATGTGCTTGCCTGTGCCCCCCGATTCTGCCCTTAATTTCAGCACCCTTGTAATTCGCTGGCACACTGCTCATCTGGGCCTCTGTGGATTTGGGGTACTCATGGATTTCTCTGCTTTCTCTGCGCAGCTTGCAGTGCAGGCTTCCCACAGCAGGAGGCAGGATTTTCTTTTTCTTGTGTGTTCTGCTTCGGCCTCTGGCGCCTGGCTCTATGTGTCATGGCTGTGGTCTTCTGCCACATCCTCCCCAGGCCTCAAGGCCAGCCCAGGGAGCAGCTGTGAGCCTGGGGGCTTAGCCAAAGCTTGGGGAAGCTTCACTGTGCAGTAGATGAACCTTCTGTTCTGTGTCCCGTATGGTCCCATCCTCTGGAGAGCAACTTCTCAAGCTTTCTCCTAAGCTTGAGAGACAGCAGGAGGTTGGAGGGACCCAAATGCAGTCCCTTCAACACAGACTCTTTACTGCTTCTCTCCTACAGGCCCAGCAACCACTGGGAATAGAAGACAAGGATGACAGCCAGTCCAGCCAAGATGAGCTGCAGAGCAAGCAGTCCAAAGGCTTGGAGAGGTACCATAGGTGGGAGGCTATCCCCACGGGTGTGCCTTCAGGGTGGTGTGGACTTGGGCAGAATTCTTGGCTTTGGTGGCTGGCCTGGCTCAGTGTATACTTGCTTGGCAGCAGGTGATGAACTGGCTGGATGGCCTTGCAGGGTCTGTGTGTGCACATACGTGTGTATATGTATGTGCGCGTGTGTGTACTGGCAATGTGTATATATGTTTGCATGCATGAGCAGACCCTCTGATTCTCCACCAAGATGGGAATGTGAAGTGCCACTGGGTGCATTTGGCAGGACTCCAGGCACTATTGTGGGGCCAGGGCTGATTAAGCTGTGTGTGTGCCTGTTATGGGCCAGGGCTGAAGAAACCTTGTGGAGGTCTGGAGGAGTCACATTGGAGGGTTGGTACTGCAACTCAGAGCTCTGAGCCAGGGCCCTGCCACATCAGAAATGGCTGCAGCTATCTGTGAGTGTGCAACTGTGTGTGATGTGACAGGGGCTCTCAGCTTCTCAGGCCTGAG